CTAGCACTTGATGATTCTCCCGAGTCGGAGTTTGAGAATTTGTTTTTCAACCGCTCGAGAGTTTGTTCTATTTCGGGGTTTGAGTGGTATGTGATTTTGTTCAGTGAACGATATTTTACCATGTACTACAAAGCTCAGAAGAAATAGAAACCTTTATACTTGAAACTATTCTTTTTTTTCTTTTTCTTAAGATAAAATAAAAAGAAAAATTAGTTGTCTTTCCCCGGCAACGGCGCCAAATTTGACGTGCACTTTGTCGTGCGTGCACTCAAAATAAATCGATACTAACACTTATACGTAGTATAGGTGAAGTAGAATTCGTATCCACAGGGAAAGGAATAACTTTCTTTTTTATGTAAATAGTAAATAAAGGGGGGGGGGGTTGATTGTTGAGTGATTTAATTAAATTAAACACGAAGATGAACGAGTTATATGGGATTAAATTCAAGAATAAAAGGGACTTGGCCTTGCTACTTTCCACTTGTTGATATATTTTAGTCGATCATTGTTATATCAATAACTTATCCCCGCTCGAATACTCAATCGAGGAGTATATCCAATTCATCGAGGGTAGTTATTAACAACGACCGTTCATTAATAACCCTTACTATTAACCAAATATAGAACAACGCCGTATACCGATTTAATAGTAGCATTTAACTTCTTTAACTCCTTGATGAAATCAATTGAGATTGATAACCTCAACACAACGGTTTCGGTTTAACCAACAAAATTAATCCCTCTTAAGTTTATTAACCACGACCGTGCATTAATAAACCGAAGTTACTTACTTGTGAAACTATCAACGTTTAACCATCGGTTCGTTGATCGTTTCTAGTAATAATCAATGTCGGAACGTTAACTAATCGTCACTTAGCCACCCTCCAAAATTAAGAGTATAAACTGAGCTTAAGAGTATAAAGGAATTGGTGATTAAAAGTGAAGGAAAGGAGGTGTATTTATAGGCTTTTTTGAGGTGCAGGTCGGGTACTCGATCGAGTGTACACATATACTCGATCGAGTATGTGTAGAAACTCGAATTCGATCCATACTCGATCGATATTCGAGTAGAATATATAGCTATACCCGATCGAGTATGTCAGTGTACCCGATCGGGTATAGACACTCGATCGTGGTAAAATCTTCCCTGCATGTTCCATTGTTTTCGGATCCGATCCGATTTGAAATTTCAACAAGATACCCGATCGAGTATAGGTAATACTCGACCGAGTATAGACCAAAATCAGGATCTTCCCTTTTTGTCTTGTTATTTTGCACCTTCTTTCCACTTTTGGGGTTCATCAACTGTCCTTTGAGTGATGGTAGACCTGTTTGAGCTCAGAATAAACCTAATCTAAACAATTTACAAGAATTTAACAAACTAAACTATTACACCGAAAGTGTGTAATTTCCGAAATACTAAACAACCAAAACTAACTAAAAACGTAAATAAACACACACGGAAATTACAAACGTATCACACTCGCCATAACTGTTTCAACAATGCAATAAAATGTGTTGCAATTTCAACAAGAAACAAAGTCGAGCATTCAAAATTTGGAAACTCAAGTTAGCCAAATTCCAAATGTCGTGAGCCGACTTGAGGTAAAAGACTCGGGTAGACTCCCATCTCAAACGGAGCAAAACCTGAGACAACATGTTAATGCAATCATGTGGAGGAGTGAGACAACATTGAAACAGGTGCATAAGGAAGAAGAGCAAGCTCAAAAGGAGGATGACCTTAGAGAAGATTTTCAACCAGAAGAGAGGACCACAAAACCAAAATTCCCACCATTATACCGATATCAACAACCACCTCCATTCCCTGAGGCGTTAAAGGACACAAGGAAGCTGGAGAATGATTGGGACATCTACGAGACCTTCGCCAATTGTGAGGTAAATATTCCCTCTCCAAACTAAGTAAAAGTGTTCCTCGTTATGCAAAGTTTTAAAAAGAACTATGCACAATAAAAAGGGAAAAAAAATTGAAGAAGAAACAAGAAGTTAAGGTTAGCGAACATGTCTCGGCAATTTTCCAAAAGAAACTCTCAGAAAAATGTAACGATCTAGGCATATTCACTACTATCCCATGCAAAATAAGGGACACTTTATTTCCTAGGGCTTTGTTGGATTTAAGGGCTTAAATCAATGTTATTCCATATTCATTATACAGGTCCTTAAAACTTGGCCCAATGCATGAAACTGGGGTAGTAATCCAATTGGCAAATAGGTTTAGCACATACGCAAAGGGCGTCGTAGAGGACGTGCCAGTAAAAATTGAAAATTTGGTCTTCCCTGTTGATTTCTATATTCTTGAAATGGAAGCCGATAGCCAAGCTACACACATCCTTTTGGGAAGACCTTTCTTAAAAACAGCCCAAACAAAAATAGATGTGACAAAAATAGATTTGTCAAATGGTTCATTAACTTTAGAGTTGGATGACCAAAAAGTAGAACTCAACATCTTTGATTCTATGGAAAAACAAATTAAAGATCAATATCTTTGAACCATAAGCACCGAATGTTATTATTGAAGAAGAAGCTCGGAAAACATCAATTTTTGAAGAAAGAATTGAACAAAAAAAAACTATTTTGAAAGGAGAGGAATTGAAAAAGTCGCATCAATGCGAGTTTAAACCACCTACGATTATGGTGGTAACAAGGAAGAAATCTCGGCCTTCCTGGAAAAGGCCGAGAAAGAAAGATGAAACAAGGAATGTTCACGATCATATTCCACATAAAACAGAAAATAAAATAAAAATATCGTCGAGCCACGACATTAAATAAAGCATTTCTTGAAAGGCAACCCATACAAGGTAAGTTTAATTGTCTTATTTTATTTTAACTTTGCACTTTTCAAAAAACAGTTGAGGTTTTTAACTGCATGTGCATGCGACACGGTAAGTTTGACATTAGATCGTGGTATATAGGCTTTGACATTGAGGGTTTTTTCACATCATCCAGAGAGAGGATGGTCCGAAAAGGTTATACTTCACATCTACGCGTCCTGGTCTCTTAGTATCGTCCTATTGTCATTTGTAACTTTAATTAATTAGTATTTCCTATTCTAATTAATTATGGCTGTAAAACTTAGATTAGCTAGATGTATAGTTATGTCATGGTGTTGTTTTTTAGTATTTCCTATTCTAATTAATTATGCCTGTAAAACTTAGATTAGCTAGATGTATAGTTATGTCATGTTGTTGTTTTTTAATATAGTTATGTCTCGTTGTTTTATTGTTGGCACTTACAGATTGAGTATATAATAATGTATATTCGCATTTTGAAACTAAATAAGATACATTCAAATTAAGTAATTTTTTAGGCACATACTATTGTAATGTTTCTTAGCATTGACTTATTTATATATCAAAGATTGTTAATTAGAACAAACAACGCAGTGTGAGACCGATTGGTATGGTCTATCTTTTTTTTAAGAAAAATGCCAAACCATATTAACTTAAATAATGGATTGCATTTACAACGGGCCAATACTCAAAAATTCTGATAAATGCAATCCTATAGCCTTTAAATCATAATTTAAAAAATTGCATATTAACGTCCAAATTGCTACATCTGAAAACTTGAAAAGGTTTGATTTTATTATCGAAGTGTCACTGTGCGCCCTATAGCCTTTAAATCAACTCATGTGAAAATAAGTTTTAGTTAATTTGAAAATTAGGAGATAGTTGTATTTGATATTTTATAGATAATATATATTGAGAGAGAGAAGAGGAAAGAGTTGGGCAATCTTAATTTTAGACACAAACACAAGTTAAGTCTATCATTAAATCATCTAAATTTATAATTAGATGGATTCACTAAATAATATAAATAGTATAACTCGAATTACATGATCGATGAAATATTAAAAATAGTAATTATTAATTGAATACTACGTACGTATATTCTTCGATATAATATATATGGATAGATATGGCTGCCCAAATGTCTCCGAAACATAAATGCGGCCATTAATCGAAATAAGGTCGCTGCGCTGCTTGGTTAATTAAGTCAAACTATGGAAGTCGTAAGTCGTAAACACGTACCCCGGCCATATTGCTGGCTGCTAGGATTAATTAGATAGCCAATATTAATTGGACCAACAAAGACATTAGAGAAAATCAGAAAATGCTTTTCACGTGACCAGGGGCGGAACCAGGGCGTTGGGTCGGGCTGGGCCGATTCAAAGAATATTTTTGGGAAAATTTTACACCGATTTTTTTACACTAAAAATTTAAACATTTTTAAATTTGGGCTGGGCCAGGGTCAGGTTTGGCCCTCCACTAGCTCCGCCCCTGCACGTGACCATGATTTCTTTCTGCCACATCGTGGTCACGTAAAAAATCTGAAATAATCTTAAAACTCAAAAAATCCCCTTAACCATCATCTTTAATTTTCAGATTATTGGTGGGACATACATTAAAAAAAGTATACATACGAACGTATACAAATCCATGTACCACTAATCATCAAAATAGAAAAATTAGCCACGGTAAACTTTCATATTTAATGCATTACACATATGTAACCTCTTTCCAATTTTTTATATTTAATGGTTTTTTCTTGGACTCTGATTAAAAAGCAGGCCAAAAATCTCCAAATAATCTAGTTTCAATATTTGATATTAGATTCTTTAAGAAAATAATCTTTGCAAATAATCTCTTCTTCTCAATCATAATCCCAAAGAAAATCATCCACATCATCCAATTGATCTCTAAACAATGGGGAAGCCCTTATTATTATAATATACGGAGTAGTAACAATACTTTGTAGTACTTCCGTCCCAATTTGATTTGCAAAATTGATTTTTCTGATTGTTCACTTAATTGGGATATTAACTTTTAATTATATTCTAATTCGGGGTTTCTAACTTTAAAGAGGTTTTAATATAATTTCATAACACCTAAATTTTGATTTTTAAAAACTGGATGAGTTATGAATTTAGGAAGGAGGGAACAACAAATAAATCTACGTACGTACCTGGCCGGCCTAGCATGCGTTCATACTTCATAGTATACTTGCGATCATTTTGCCCCGGCCCGGCCTATATATATATTCAACCTTGCGCGCTTACAATCATTCATTCCACCATACATACATATATATAAAAGCCAAGCTAAGCTAATTTGTTTCGATCAATTGATCGAAACAAATTAATTAAATAATTAGGAAATTGGATAATGGCAACCACGCCGGGCTTCCTCACCGATTGGCCGTGGACACCCCTCGGAACTTATAAGGTCCGCCGGCAACCCTGCATGTCCTTTATTACTTAGATATACAGTATTAACTATATACGAAGTATAGAGAGCTCTTCTCATCAGGCCGGCCTGACGAGCTGCCCCGTCCGGCCGAGCCCGTTTGGGTACCTTCCCGCTGGAATTTTTTGATGAAATTTTTTGAGCATGTTCCTCATCAAGTCTAGTTTGTCCATACCAAATTTCAGCTCCAAATTCGATCGGGAAGGTCGTCAAATGATTTTTGCAAGTTAACTGGTCCGGAAAATACATATTCCGGACCAGTTAACTTGAAAAAATCATTTGACGACCTTCCCGATCTAATTTTGAGCTGAAATTTGGTATGGACAAACTAGACTTGATGAGGAACATGCTCAAAAAATTTCATCAAAACATTCCACCGGGAAGGTGCCCAAACGGGCTCGGCCGGACGGGGCAGCCCGTCAGGCCGGCCTGATGAGATGATTTCTCACGAAGTATATATTATAGCTTTTCTATCATTTAACTATTTTTTTTCTTCAATTTGGCGCATTCGATCATGAATTATTTCTGATTCGGTTTTTTGTTGTGGTAAAAGTATGTGGTGTTGGCTCCATGGGTGGCACACAGCGCGTATTCATTTGTGAGAAGCGAGAGCAGTGAGAGAGACTACACGAACTTGTTGATATTTCCGTTCCTTCTCTTCCGCATCATTCACAACCAGCTCTGGATCGCCTACTCCCGTTATCGCACCGGAACCGGAAAGAACCGCATCGTCGACAAACCCATCGAGTTTGATCAAGTTGATCGGGAAAGTAACTGGTACGTACATACACCATTACCGTAAAATCCATGTCTTCGCTTTAAAAGATCAATCCGATAGAAAAACTAACTCAAAATATGACTATATACTATCTTCGTTCTTAAATAAACGCTATAGTCAACTTTTCATGTTTGTTAACACGCAACTTTGATCATTAATATATTTAATTCTCTATTATTATAAAATTTGAAAAATTCAGATTTCAAAACTTTACGATGCGACAAATTTAACAATATTTCATAAATATAAATTATTAATACATTAATTACTAAAACGTAAATCAAAGTAGAATTTAGCATGTTGCACTTATTTCAGAACAGAGAAAGTATTTTATTACTGCATAATTAATATTTTATGGGTGTAAAAAATACTTTTAAGACAATTTAAATAGATCTTCCATCATTTTAAAACATATTGGAGTACCACATAGTACATATTGGATTGTTACAAGGTCACAATTCTCTCTTTAGAAACAAATGTGTGATCTATAATATTTCATTTTATTATTCTCAAATCTCAATCATAAGTTTTTTACTTTTTCATCCATTTTATTAATAATTGTAGTAGCAAGTTGGATTAATAAGAGCATCTCCAATGCTAAAACGTTAATGGTTCATACGTGGCATGGAAAATAACCAATTAAAAAACAATAAATATAATATCTCTCTCCTTATTTGAAGGATCTTACATCATTTTGGTAAGTTTTTCTTCACAATGTCAAGCATAATGTCAAGATGTAGACATTGTGATTGACATTGCAGACAAAAACTTACCATAAACACATAAGAACGTGGAAAGAAGGAGAGAGATATTGAATTTATTGTTTTTTAATTGGTTATTTCTCATGCCACGTATGCACCGTTAACGTTTTAGCATTGGAGATGCTCTAAACGTTCTTCAAATATACATCGAGTAAAATAGGTTTAAATGTTCTCAAATCATAATTGTCATAGTATATAATAATATCACCATCGCCGACTACGTACCCGGCCCCTGACTACCGTAGTTTTGGAACAAAAAAGTATACTCCACATTTATCTATTGAACTCATAAAAGTATGATATGGAGCAAATAATACAAGAAATGTTGAAAAATTAAGAATGTTTTTCTTTAGATTAGTCTCAAATCATATCAGATCAAATTAAAATTTAAACAGATCATACTAGACCACACAAATTAGACTTTGCGAGTTATAAAATACAAATATACCAAACATCTAATCATACTTCCTCCGTTCCTTTTTAATTGCAACAGTCAAAATTTCACGCTTGTCAACGCACGAGTTTGACCATTAATATCTTTCATTCCTTATTAGTAAAAAATTAAAAAAAAATCATATTCTGAAACTTTAGAATGAGAAGAATTTAACAATATTTTTTAAAAATTTAATGTATAATACATTAATAAATAAAATATAGTCAAAGTAGAATATGTGAATAGTGCAAAAAGTCCAATGTTGCAATTAAAAGAGAACGGAGGTAGTATATCATATTTGATAAGTTCTGATAAGACTAGATCGGATCGGCCGGATCGGACTTAAACATACTAGATCAGATCATGACAAGTCAGACTAGACTAGAAAATTTCAATTAAATAAAAATATCCGAACTTGCACGTTATACCAGATTCATATATGATATGGTTTCATATATTTTTCACCAAATTGCTACCCAAATAGGCGAAATCCCATGCAAATAATCAAAATGAAATTAATTGATCAAATCAAATTATATTTTGTGATAATGAAGAGTGAAAATCAATTGGCAATTTCCAGATTTTTTTACTTGGATCAGTTTCAGCCTCGACCACACTTTAATAGACCAGATCAGATTCTGAAAGTTGTAAAATACGCATCGTTCGGACATCAACTAGACAATACAGATAAGTTTAGATCAGACTAGATTAGTTTAGACCAGATTTAAACACACCAGACCAAAAATTTCGATTCAAGTAAGAAAAATCCTAATTTTTAACTACAGTAATTATTATTTACGAATAATCACGTATTTATGAAATGTGCTGTTTTTAATTTGCAGGGACGATCAAATATTGTTGAACGGAATATTTTTTTATGGGTTCAATGCTGTATTTTCAATGGCTTCCCGGTTGCCCATGTGGCGGACAGACGGCGTATTAATGACCGTAATCTTACACGCCGGTCCGGTGGAGTTCCTTTATTATTGGCTACATAGAGCTTTGCACCACCATTTTCTCTACTCTCGTTACCACTCACACCACCACTCTTCCATCGTTACTGAGCCTATTACTTGTATGTAACTAAAATCATCTCACTATCACATTAAAATTAAAGCAAGTCCTTTCTTATAATTTACGATTTCAATAAATTATTTGAGCCGGTTTGGTTATAATTGAAATAGGTTGAATTGATTGAAATGACTGAAACCATAGTTCAAACGGAATAATTTGTCTAAATATACACGAAGTAAAAAAATACGTACTAGTACTACATACGAAGTATGTGGTAGTATATTACAAAGAAAATTAGTCTTTAATTAACCAATAAAATGCGGATCGACTAGTCCTCAACCACTTAAAAGATAATCGTCAACCAATAAATGAAAAAGTGATTAGAAAAAATACAATCAAATAAAATAGCCTTCTTCAACCCAACCAATAAAAAAGTAAAATGAGCGGAAAAATGAGCGAAATAAAAAAAAATCGTGAAAATTAAAGTTTCATGATAAGATCTAACATTCGAATAAGGATTACCAAACCGGCTCTTACGTATTTATTTATTTATTTATTTAGTGACGATTGTACATGTGTTTATGTGTGATGGCATGCAGCTGTAGTTCATCCATTTGGAGAGCACTTGGCATATTTTTTGTTATTCGCAATTCCGACTTTGACAACAGTGTTCACAGGAACCGCCTCTATTATTGGAATTTTCGGATACATCTTTTACATTGATGTGATGAATAATTTGGGACATTGCAATTTTGAGCTCATACCCAAGTGGCTCTTCTTCCTCTTCCCCCCTCTCAAGTACCTCATGTATACGCCCACGTAAGTTTTAATAAAAATACACTACTTAGGTACTTATTACAACAACAGAAATAACAAAGCTAGGTCGATGACATAGGATATGATGAAATTTGTTGATTAGTTATGTTCATGGGAGGATAGACTAAGGTAGGCCGAAGCTCAAAGTAACTTAATTCTTTTAATATTTTAGTATAATTTTTTCATTTGTCATATTTAACACACCCCGCTAATGTTTACTGTTCAATCCATAATTGACATGTATTATCATTAATTAAACAAAAATGTTGATGGAATGGATAATGAAAGTATGTCCGTGCAGGTATCATTCCTTGCACCACACTCAATTTCGAACAAATTATTCACTCTTCATGCCCTTCTACGATTACATGTATGGGACAATGGACAAGTCAACGGACACATTGTACGAAGCATCTCTCAAAAAAGGAGAAGACTCCCCCGACTCGGTCCATCTAACGCATTTTACCACTCCAGATTCTGTATACTTTTTAAGAGTTGGGTTTGCTTCTTGGGCATCCCTGCCCCAAACACATAAGTGGTTCATTTGGTTGATGTCGCCTATCACATTTTGGACCATGGTCGTCAACTGGATCTATGGTCAAACATTCATCCTAGAGAGAAATGTTTTGGACAAAACCAGCTTACAGTCATGGGTCATACCAAAGTACAATGTTCAGGTATGCACATACTTCGTTACATATGTGTCACAAAGTGACATTGTACTCGTAATTAATTAAATACTTATATGTGTGTGTGCGCTATAGTGAAACCCCTTTCAGAATGACAATTTTGAAACTCATTTTTCATATTTCTAGTCAATGGGTAAAATTTGTAATGTGCCATTTGTTTTTCGTGAATTCAAAAAGATCCTGTTTGAACTCATGATAATTACAAAAAACACCATATTTTGCTAACGTTTAATTATTTATTTACTTATTTACGTTTTTTTAGTATGCACTTAAATGGCAATCACAAGCGATCAACAACTTGATTGAAGAAGCCATACTAGCAGCAGAAGCAAGAGGTGCCAAAGTTTTGAGCTTGGGACTTCTCAACCAGGCAAGTCACTCCATGATCTTCTTTATACACTAAGATTATGGTAGGCTAAAGTCTGAGTAACCTAATTTAAAAAAAAAAAATATAGTGTAATCGATCTTATTTCATTTTTGCAAAATAAATTAGCGCATCCAGCTATTGTTCAAACCTTTTATTAGAATTCTTCAACCCAATCTAACCTAGATTCCTTGATCCGCCTTATATATATTGACAATCGTGAGTATGTTTTAATTTGCTTGTTTCATAAGCTCCCGTTTGAAAAATCTACGATAGGTTGATCTGACCTTACTCAAGTGAAAGAGGTGCATGTAAATATGTAATTAGTAATGAGAAAGTTTAATTTATTCTCAGAGTGAAGAACTCAACAGAAATGGCGAGATTTACATCCAAAAGTATCCTAAAATGAAAATTAAGTTGGTGGATGGAAGCAGCTTGGCAAGTGCAATAGTGGTCAACACAATCCCAAAGGAAACGACAGAAGTCCGACTTACAGGCAGACTCACCAAAGTTTCCATCTCAGTAGCTTTTGCATTAGGTAAAAAAGGCATCAAGGTAATTATTAAACTTGCCCATTTATTATGTTATATTATACTACGGGTATTGAACTATATATTCCCTCTCGACCGACAACTGAAATCCATTTTAATTACTTCGATCCAGGTCATTATTTCATCTGAAAATGATTACGAGAAGCTTAAGCTGGCTGTGAATTGCGGGAGTAATTTTTCCATGTCAAAGAGTTTCACGCAAAAGGTGAAATCACATTCACCGTCTCAAAATGTGATCAAATTTGATTTTTTAAAGATATTAATTTAATGTACTTTACAATGAAAGATATGGGTAGTTGGAGAAAGATTATCGAAAGAAGAACAAAAGATGGCAAATAAAGGAACATTTTTCATCCCATATTCCCAAATCCCTCCTAAGAAACTGCGTCGGGACTGTTACTACCATCACACCCCAGCAATGTTGGCCCCACCATCTCTCCACAACTTGCATGCTTGTGAGGTACATGTCATGTATTTGACATTTTTAATTACTTAATTCGATCTACGTACGTATGTACAATTTGTTACAAGTTTACAACAATGTTTGACATGCAATTAGCATGTTAACAACTTTCTTGAATTGTGCAGAATTGGCTGCCGAGGAGGGCAATGAGTGCCACGAGAGTGGGAGGGATTGTGCACGCCTTGGAAGGGTGGAATGTGCACGATTGCGGTGAGAAAATGCCAATGGATATTGACAAAGTTTGGCAAGCCACCCTTAGCCATGGTTTCCGACCACTTCCATTGAAAGATAGCGCCATTGTTGGTGCCTGATCGATTCCATATTTTTACCATCAAATCTCTCTGTATACTTGCTTTTTATTCCATTTGATTTATATCCTCTCAATCCTTAAAAACTCTTAATTTATTATTATTATGATAATTATTAAAACTACTACTATTATATGTACCACAGTATGACTTCTTTTTGTTCCGACACAAAATCTATATGTAATGAATCTGATAGGTTTTCTTTATTAGAAACGATGGTTAATGTAATTTTGAGTTGGCTTGTTGACTAGTCTTGGAATAGTGGTTTTTGTCCGTTGCTTGAGCCCAATTTTCAAGTTCAAGATCAAAACATTTCCTGATTTTTTTTAATGAACCTTTCCTGAATTATGTGACAAGTCCAGTTCAAGACCTGGTTTCAGACCAATGCAAAATAGATTTAAAAGCCATAATAAGAACCAACTCTAGAACTGTAATCAAAACCGAACTGGGTATGCCGTAGAACGGCTGCAAATAGTTATGACTTGTAAGTTGTAACTTTGGAGTAATGGAGTTTGGATCCGGGATCAGACCGAGTGCAACCTTGGATTTTTTTCCTCCTATGTTTTATTCAAAATGAAATATGCAATAACTGGATGGATAAGTAGTGGATAACTTTCATGCAACATCAAGACGTAAATTGAGGGTAAGATATATCGAAATCATCCGGGGCCAAATTTATACAAAGAGCTCGCCAACAAATTATTTTTCCTTAACCATTTAAAGATAATGATTGATGATAATGATCAAATATGTCCAAATCAAATCAAATATAGCGCGTGGATGACACAAATAATGCATTACAGGTTTATAGCGATAATAAAACATTTTATTTCTTAGAATTGTCCGAAATGACAAAAACCAAAATAACAAAGAGGTAAGTACGAACCTCGTCAGACTTCAACATGGTTCAAATATATCAAAATCTTTATCTTATATTTCACTTTCTCTATAAGCATAACAGAACAAAAACCAATCCCAATTCTTCATGCAATGCCACACTGAATTGGTACACAAATCAAATCCTTAAACCGCAACCTGTAACGCATAATAAAATCTGTCACGGCTCTAACATTAAAGTCTTAAAACAGAAACCAAAGACACCGAATAAATGAATTATGAATGGAAGAGATTTGAACTGTGAAAGCAGTAGTCCTATATTTGATATTTTAGGGTGTGTTTGGAAGTTGGTTTTTGGGGGAGGGGAAGACATGTGAGGGTTGATGATCCTATGTTGGAGTTCAAAAAATGTGGAGGAATGGTTTTGAAAGGTTTTTGTAGCCCTTCAAAACCCCTCAAATGCTCAATTTTTAGGTTCCTCTAAATGGAGGGTTTGAGGGATATCATCATCATCATCATCATTACTCCAATGCTGCAAAGGCTCCCACCTACGGTGGGGTAAGGGGGGTCGGATGTACGCAGCCTTACCCTTGTACTAAAGCACAGAGAGACTGTTTCCGAATGACCCAAGGTGAAAAAGCACGACGAAAATCGCATGGCCTAACTACTGCTTCATAATAAAGAAGCGCAGACAGTTTAGTGAACCATTTTGCTTTATTCCATCATTTTCTAAACCAAAAAATAATTTATCTTTGGCTTTATTGCAAATGATGGAAACTAAATGATAATGTAACTAAATGATAATGTAAGCTCAATTTAAAGTGAACATCAGTTCAAGTATTTGCATTCAATTATAATTCCTTCAAAGACTCTTTTTTCAAATAAGAAGAAGGGTTTCTTCATCTTCCCTTCATTTTTCCCTCCAACAATTGATCTTCAAAGCATTCCCTTCGCCTCCCCCTAAACTCCGAAACATACCCTTAGTCTTTTACATGGGCAGTTCCCCGAAATAGAGAGCAATCTATTTATTTATAAGAATTTCACCAGTTGAGGTTTTAGGAGGGGCCGATAAGAATTTCACCATCTAAGGTTCTAAGTAAATAGATAGCAATTTTTATCAATTACTCCATATGAGTAATGGTATCAATTAACCGAGACACGAGCATGCAACAACAAACAACAAGTCAATAACATTCAATCCTTAATCCCAAAAGTATTTGAAGTCGGCTAACATGAATCGATCCATGATATCAGTGTGAAAAAGAGAAGAAAGATAAAAGGAAAAAAAAGGTAAGATAAAATGGATAAATATACATATAAGATAACAGTAACATAAGAATATAAGAAAGATAAAAAATAAAAAGATAAAGAGCATAAAAAATAAAAATAACATAAGAAACATAAAAAGGTAATGAAGATAAACGATTAAAGAAAAATAAAGAAGAAAAGATAGAAAAGAGATCACTCGTCCACACAAATGTGCACCCTCCACTTTGCTCTCTCCAAAGCCACACTTTCAACCAACCCAAGAAGACGCATATCAGTTCTAATTCCTCTAATCCAAGCATAAAACCAAGGAGAAGTGAGAAAATGTAAACATGGTAATTATAGGAGAAGTGTTTTTAGAAGAAGAGGCTATAATCTTTTAGAAACCAATGAAGAAAAAAACCATATCTAGCCATGCATTTTTTCATGTGTTTTTTAAGACTCAAAACTTAAACTTGAATACAAACATTGGATAAACTCTATCAATGGTTTTGTTTGAGCGTTAATAAATGTATTTTCAATTTTATCCAAAAGAAGTTAAAAACAGTGATGTAAAAACAATGTGATCTTGAGCCACCACTCTAAGACATGTTTTTTATATACCATCTCACTATATTAATTTTCTTAGATAAGCGACTAAGAACTTTTTTCTGCCATGTATCACCAAAATTCTTTCCTCATACCATATTTCTTTGTTAAAGGGCCAGGCTTATAAGAGGATCTTTTAGGAAATCTATTAAAAGTCTAGGAGAAGCTATCTGGTTTGTTTTTTTATTAAATTTAAAATTCCATAGATAAATGATAGGTATACATAAATCTGGAGATGAATTGTTGAATATGAAAACTGAAATTGAAGAAACTGAAAAGTAACAATACAGATGAGGCAAGTTTGAGAGTGCCTCGTCTCTCCAAGTCCCAGTCCAGTCCAAGTTCCGCCTACCCTCTCCCTCTTCTATTCCCTCTATTTATTCTTTTACAAATGAGGCTTCCCTCAATCTATATAAGTAATTGGCCCAGCCCACTATTACATTTTATTAAAATATTAAGCCCAAAAGTCCAGGTCTCTATAATCACCCCCTGACAACCACTTTGTCCTCAAGGTGGGGAGTAAGAGCAGCCATGACATCCAGCTTCATCCTCGTGCCTCTTCCTTCCCAGTACCTTACTGTTTTACCTTACTGTTTGCTGGACAAGGGGCTGCTTGAATCTTCCTCCTCACTTCTAGCAAAAGAATCAACAGATCATCTACCTTTAGAGCATCAGTCCTATTCGGGTGGCTTTGTTCTTGCTGGAACTGAGCTTTATCAATCACCAAGTGCTCACTCTTACATTTGCTAACAGCTCTTGCCTCCAGATATAACCTCAGTCCTGGGGTCTCAGTTGCTTCACTCATGGGAATTGTAGCATCTGACAGAAGTATCCACCAGGACTGATAAGAAGAACCGCAAAAACATCAAATAACTGACTAAGAACAAGGGTAGATTCCAATGTAGAAGTATTAGCGGAATTTTTCCAATAGTATTCATGTGACTCCGAATTGATAGGCGCAAGCAATCTCATGAATGGTGCATAACATGTTGTTTCGATTGTGGATAACAAACTGGCATAAGGAAACTCTGCAAGATACTCTTTTCCATTTGCCAACTGCTTTAAACCCTTTTTATGCATTTCAGAATCACTAAAAGGCTGCCTCCCAACTTCAGAGAAACTTGTTGCAGGTTGCAGCTTTATTACTAGCAAATTAGTAGGTGAAAATCCATGCACATGGCTTATAACTTTTCGTGCTGCTTCCTCCACAAAAGCTATTCTCCACTTAATAACCAAGTCCCTGATGTAGTCCCATCGTACTGCGTTAAAAGCAATAACTGGGTAGCACAACATACAAACACCATCAGCTTTAGTCAAACAGTTGGAAGAACCTTCTAGTAAGGCAGGCATAGAAACTGGATTTCCAGTATAAGCCATCCACCTAACACCAACAGCAAGAGGTCCAATGCCCATGTTTCCAGTTCCCGAACAGCCCCTAGCAACAGGGTTTGTGACAAGATTACAACCCTTTTCTAAATCTGCTTCACTACAACAGTGTATCTGAGCCTCTGGTAGGACAGTAACCACTCTAGAGCTGCACCTCACAGGATGAACAACTGATCTGAACTTCACATGAAGTGCACAAGAGTGAAATCTCAAGTAATAAAACCGAACAATAGTTAGAACATCAGCACAAATTATCAACAATGGCCAACTATTAGCAATTGCATCCATATTTTGCTTAGACGAAATTGGATTGGGTGAACTTTGCATGTATGGAACAGTACAATCCTGCTTGGAAACTAAATTTTGAACACCACCAAGTTCTTCCACATTCCAAACTTGGAAATCATACCGACAGCATAAAAGCAAGACTTGGCGGTTTATACCTCCCTCAACATTACAGGTAAGTGTCCTTCCTTTCAATCCTTCCACCCCATGCTGAGGTTTGTACATACAGCCTCCTTTTTCCTTCCATCCCCTCTTCTCTTCATCTCTGAATTTCAATATTGTGCCTACCCGTTCAAAGCTAAACATTAGTGCAAATGAATTTTGTCCCATTCTGGTTGAGTCATGTTAACTGCTTCCTTCACAGGTTTCCAGGTATAAGCAGTTGTCTGCTCCTTCCCCCACTAAAACATATTCAGTGCTTTCTCTTTCATTGCGATCATAGTAGACTCCCTCTTCTCCTCATCTGCAGTAGTTGTGACTTATCTGATCCTCCAGTTGCCTTGACAGTTGCTCTTCCACTTTACCCGAACGAATTCCATTTTCATCCACCTCAGGCAGTTTCAAATCTTCCAGATAATTTGGAGGATATCCGGTAGTTTGAGTCGAATCATCATCCGGATCTGTTTCCTTGATTGATGGTTCAGACAGCCTCAACTTCATTGTGAGCGATGAAATTTGAGCATTGTGAGAAGAGGCGTGCGATGAAACCTGCAAATTGGGGAGATCTGTTTGCGATGAAATCTAAGAATTTGAAGTAAATGTTCGCTGCGAAGCTGGCCAACATGATGAAGCTGCTGGCGATGAAGATAGGCGAGGCGAAACAGATCGCAATGAATTGGGAGACGACAAGGTTCCAGACTGAAACTGGTTGAAGCTAGAGATGAAGTCAGCGAACTGGGAGATGAAGTTAGCGATTGCGAACT